CGCCTGCAGGCGCGGGGGCATCTGTGGGGGACACCTCCAACCCCCAGCCCATCCTGCCTTCGTCTCCAGGCTCCATGCCTAAACGGTGGGGCGAGAGAGGCCCCGCTTCCTGACAGGGATAGTGTGGGAGCCAGGAGACAGGTGTTCACAAGGTGGTCCCCGACCCGGAGCATCAGCATCACCAGCGAATTCGTGCAGAACGCACAGTATCAAGCCCCACGCCAGGACCACGCATCGCAAAATCTGAGTCTGGAATTTAGCTCAGTGATCATATACTGAGCAGCTCAATGCTTTAACCATACAGGAGAAAACTTTTCCTTTGACTGTAATAACTGCTCTGGAGTGTACATCATGTCCCGTGGTCCTCTTTACAGGAAAATATTCTCCATATGTTGTTTTAGCTCCCCAAAGATGTAAATGTCTCCGGGTCAAGGATCTTGTTTTTCTTCACTTGGATCTTCATTCATGTGTTAATGAAATGCTGTGGAATAAGGAACTGCAGGTTTACTACCAGATATTTTACAAGTCAGGTGGTGCATCAAATCTCCCTCTATAACAGGTGATGAAAATCCATTGATTTGAGACTTCTCGGGAACACCTGAAAATTAAACAGATGGATAAAGTGGACAGCAGTCTACAGAGAGAGAGAGAGAGAGAGAGAGGTGTCTGTCTCTGAAGGTGGGAAGAGGATCGCTGTTCTCATCCCTCTGCAGGCCTTCCTCTAAGGATTCAGCAACCCCTGCTCCCTTCCTGCCTCTCGCAGTCCCTCCCTTCTCTCTTTAGCCTTTTCCCAACATCCCCCTCTCCCATTTATTTAGTCCTTTTTTTTTTTCAATGGAGGTACTGGGGAATTGAACCCAGGACCTTCCTTGTGCATGCTAAGCATGTACTCTACCACTGAACTATACCTTCCCCCCATATCTTCCAGTCTTAAAATCAAAAAATATTGTCTGTGTGGTTACTACATGCTTGGCACCATGGTGGCAACAACTGACAAGAGACCATGTCTCTGGCCCCATGGTGCTGAGTCTGGGGCCGAGGTGGGAAAGCCAGGGAGACACACAAGAAACTAACAGTAACTCCACATTAGAATAAGTGCAGAGACAGACACTGACAGGGTGGTAAGGAAGGAAAGCCTCTTTGAGGAGGTGAGTTTTAGGGTAAGAACTGAAAGTTTTAGGTGAAGCCCACCAAGTGGAGAGTCAGGAAAAAGTGTTTCAGGGAGAGGAAAGAGCAAGTGCAAAGGTCCTGAGGCAGAAAGAGCTTGTTAGGTCTGAAGAACTGGAAGATGGTCACTGTGGCTGGAGCTCCATACAGGAGAGGGAAGTAGAGGAGATAAGAGGTGGAAGCTGGGCTGGGTCATTGAGAGCTTTGTCGATGGTGGTGGGGAGGGTGGGTTTTGTTCTAATTGCAATGGGAAGCCTTTGGAAGGTTTTAAGCATTGATGACAGTTTGCACTGCCAAGTAGAGAATGGACCGTGTATGAGGGAGAATGACAAGGAAGAACTGTGAGATTCACTAGGAGACTTAACAGTTTTCTGGGTGGTAGGGATAGAGACGGAAGGCAGACAGTCCTTAGGATGGGTGACCAAGAAGTTTAGAGGTCTGAGGGTCCCAAGAGAAGACTTCCTGGATGGTAGACAAGCAGAGCAGGGTCCCTGACCGGTGGGGCCCTAGAGTGCAAGGAAAGAAATGAAACCCCAGCACTTCTCCTCATGGGGGGTCATTTCCCTTCCAGGAAGTTTCAGCTTCCTGATTCTGGGGACCTTGTGAGATGGAATTCAGGGTGAAAAGTGTGGGACATATAATGAATGAGACCTGCTTGCCCCCTTTCTGGGGTCATCCACTCATCCTCTCTCTGGGGGCAGAGTTGGGAATGGAGAGTTTCAGCTCAGAAGCACCTCTGCACTAGCAGGGGAAGGAGGGAGGCAGTGGTCCCTTGACCCTAACCCCTAAGACAGGTATTCTGCTTCCTCCTTCCCACCACAAAGCCTCCCTTGGTGTGAGCTCTTGGAGGCAGGGACTCCCCAAACTCCACTGCCCACCTAGACCATCGTGGAGAGAAGTCAGTGGAGTGGAGGCCTCTGCTGAACGGCACAGCTCCCTTAAGACTGGGGCCAGTGGGAGCGGAGCTGGGCGGTGGGAGCAGAGGTCCCTTCTAACACAGGAGGTGAGACAGTTCTAAATGAAATTCTACTGCATACCGGAAAGACTCTGCCACAAGAATGGGCAAGAAACCCTGTGCCACTTCCCACAGTCTCTTCCCCTCCGTTGCCCTGTACACCAACACAACCCACCTGTGTCTCCAGGATAAGCTCACAAACTGCCACTTTCTCAATCCCTACTCTCCTGAGGGAGGCATGTTATCCCAATTTTGCAGATGAGCACAAGGCTACAGAGTCAGGGGAATCCAAGCTGTCTAATCTCCAAAGCAGAGCCTCGGTCCCTAAACTGCCTCTCCCAGGACTGATGCAGGTTTGACTGAAAGATGAATGAATGGAGGAATGGATTTAAAAAGTGAACGAACGGAGAGGCCTATGAATGCTGGGGGAGGGGGACATCAAAGCCAGAGTGTGTCCAAGTTTTACCCCTGTGTGGCTGCGCTCTCAGGGTCCGGGTTGAAGGTGTAGGGAATGGGTTTGGGGGCAGTCTGGTCCCAGGGAAGGGTGTGAGGAACGCAGGGAAAGTCCCTGGTTGGTCTGGGCCCAGCCTCTCTCCTTGCCCAGCGCCCACAGGCCCCAGTCCTTAGCAGGCGCTCAACAAAGAGCAGGTGAAATTCTGGTTTGCCCGGGTTCGTGGCACTCAGTGGGTGCTCAGTGAATGTGGACGCGTTGACAAATGGATGCCTCTCTGCCGAAGGGTCCCCACGCATTGCGGCCCCACTAGGCTCAGAGGGCGGCGTCCGCCTCCTGTCGCCCGGCGTCCAGCCTAATCAGTCCCTCGCAGGACCTGGCGGCGCGAGGGAACGCCTGGGGCGGGGCCGGCGTGGGGGCGGGGCGCGAGGGTATGAGGGGGCGGGGCCGGGCTCTTCAGGGTCTCTGGTCCGC